TCTTTAAATTTAATGTTAGAAAATTAATAGATCAAATGTAAATTATAGCACTTGAGACTCAAGTTAAAGCAACACTATCATGGAGTATACCAGTTGGTACTATGCTTGAATTTAGATTTCTGGGATGAGGATTTTGGAGGGTTCTAGGAGAGAAGGGCCAGGAACTAGAAGGAACAGTCATTCCTGCTGTTACCCACTATCTAGAAAGGAAGGCATACAGCCATAATAAACACAAAGATCTCTGGTTCTTTGAAGGTGATTTCTGTTGAGCAAGTGATTATTCAACCCTTATCATAACAACATATGGTAATCAAAAGATTATCAAACCCAGAGTTTTTTTCTCCATCACCTGGTTCTTGAAAAATTTCTGTTCTTCTATATGAAGATGATGTTATTCTGCTATCATTTATTTATATAGATCTTTGAAAAGCTATTATCTAAATTTAGCAACTGCTGCAGAGAAAAAAATCATTAAATATTAATTATCCCACAACTACAGTGATGCTTTGGGGAAAGAAACCTAGCAAGTTGCTATGGACTACAAAATAGTCCATCAACCAGTGCTAAGAATTAAATTATCTAGCTCTAGGCAGTTATTTTAATGAAACATTCTCTTGGAAAATGCATACCAAAACGATGAAAACCACAGTCACTTAGACCATGGAAGCCATATTGAAATTTCTTCATGCAAAGTGGGGTCCACCCTTACATCATCTTCCAACACAAAGCAGTTGGTATTGTAAAGCTGGAAGCCCTGAAAAATGATTCATTGAAAAATTTCTCTTTTTGTGTTCTATTACCCTGATAGCTTTATATGGGTATAACCCAGGCTGGTCTGGGTATACCAAGTTTGGGCAACATGGAAGCCCACATCCCCTACTATGTGAGTAGAGGTAGTCTCCTTTGACTGGCAGCCTTCATTTTTAAGACTGTTGACTTGGGAGTTTGGGCTATGGTGATCTTGGAGCCAAGACTGTAGAAGGTACAGTCAGCCATCATGACATGGAAGCCAGGGTGCCTGCCCTGCAAGCTTGAGGGGCATTTTGGACTTTGAATTGAGACTATGCTCTATAAGAACCAAGCTAAACTATGACTCTAATTTCCTTCCCCTCCTCAAGGACTGATGTGTTTTTTAAAAGGGAGGAGGATTATGCTATGGTGATGGACAGAGGGTGAATCAGGATTGTATGGGAAAGCAAGTGTTAGGCTAGAGGCTTAGAGCTAGATTCAAAAGAGGTTTTATTGATTCCTATTTTATAACTTGCCAAAACCAGAAAAGGGCCAAAAGAATTGTAGGTACATTGCAGCCTCTAGCAGTCCTTCCGGAAGAAGGGCTAGAGTTAACTCTTCTGAGGCCATTTGTTTCAGGCACCTTCAGACACAAGTTTAAAAAAAAGTTTCCTCCTCCCCCAAATGCAGTAGGGCTGAAAGTATATACTTAAAGAGTGAGTGGTACAGCTCATACAAAGGTGGGAACCTGCCAAGAGGGAGTAGTTAGTTCTCTTGCTTACCATCTTATCACTGCTAGAATCACATATACCTGCTAATAGAAGTGCTAGACTTACAAACCTGCCTGCAATCTATACCTCTAAAGACTGCACTGTACATGCTCTTTGTTCTCTGCATCCTACAATGGCCTTTGGACAAAAGCAACAAAACTTGATTTACTAATGTGAAATAAACTTTGTATCTATGATACTCAATCACTAACTTAAGACTATGCTATTAAAAACAACCTTTAATCACAGTGTTATATCTGTTTTCATCTCAGTGTGAGGGATACTGTTTACTTCCGTTTTGCCAGGAAGCTTCTTGCCCTGGTCCTAGATCCAAGATGTTAAACTTGTGGTGCTAACACTGCAACTGAACCAGATTAAAATGTAATCCAACAAAATAAATAAACAAAAATATAATTTAACAAAATAAATAAAAATACAATAGAACATAGATAATGTTATTGTGTGGTTTTCTAAGTCAATATACAGCCCACAGGAATCCTTTTATGTGATTTAGTGACCCCCATTTCTTTTTATACCACTCACCTAGATGACCAAATCATTAAGGAAAAATAATAGTAGTATAGCAGTGCACAGTTATGTAATATTTTAAAGTTTCAACATAGATAATGTTATTGTGTGGTTTTCTAAGTCAATATACAGCCCACAGGAATCCTTTTATGTGATTTAGTGACCCCCATTTCTTTTTATACCACTCACCTAGATGACCAAATCATTAAGGAAAAATAATAGTAGTATAGCAGTGCACAGTTATGTAATATTTTAAAGTTTGCAAAGTGTTTTATATACATTATCTCTTTTGATCTTGACAGAGAAGTCTAGTGTAGAGACAGGGTTCCCCTTCAACAGACTAGAACCTTCTCCTTTCACCTTTATCTCAGTCTTACTTACTGGCGAGTTGGATTTCTCAGAAGGTCCCTAAATCTGATGAGAAGTAAAAACTCTCTGGACACAAATACCAAAGGTTCCTCAGTTTCCACATTTGTAAAATAAGGAAAGTTGAACAAGATAATATCTAAGCTACCTTCTATTTCTATATTCCTCTCCCTCAAGAGACCTAGACTAGCTCTAACTAGTCAACAGCTTTTAATACCTAAAGATTTCCATTTATAGGGATAGGGAAGAGTGGATCAGGTAATTCTGAGATATCCAAGATAATAGACCTTATTTAACAAGAGAACCCTATGGAAGCAGCAGCAGCCTTGGCATTGATTATTCCTTAGCACTTTGACCACTCTGTCTGAAATCTTAGTGGCATTATATTATCAGACCTGGAATCTTTCCTATTCTTGTTTTTCTGGAGTGATCTATGTTGCCTTACAACCTATAACCAAGGCAATCTTTACCTAAACATAAATCTTTTTGACCCCTGATCTGTACAGTCCTCATTATCTATAATTTTTATTAGCCCCTAACTCCTAACAACATGTTCTGTGTAACTTTGTCCTATTTTGCCAAACCTAAGTTAACCTCTCTATTCTAATATAGCCCTGCCTTGGTCATACCTATTGCAGGTGTCACAAAGGAAACACTAGAGACAATGCATACTCCTCAGACAGAAATTTCCCAGTATCCTTCTCCTTAACCCCTCCAGACAAGGGAATTTTGCCTTTTCCATGGGACTATTGGAGGCCCTGACTCCAAAGTCTTACAGACTTGTTTATACCTATTTTTGGACTTAGTGGAAGAAGCAGCAAAGAATCTGCAAGAGGCAGAAGCAGCATAAGGATTCCCACCATGAGGTTACCAACACAAATACTATGGAGCTGAGGTGGCATCAGCAAATCATGCAAAAAACACATTGGGGTGAAGTTCCTCGCTTTGGAGACAGTAAGGGTACAATTCTGATCTTATTTCCCTAGGGCATGGGTTTCTTATCCTATTTCTTAAAAAAAAAATCTTACTCTTGGTGTATTTAAAATTTTGTTTTTTTTCTTAAGGGAAATGTAATAAAGCTATTAATGAATTGCTAAACCATGTGCCGTTGCTTAAATATAGTGTTCAGTGAGGTGGTTGGAGCTGGGGAGAGGAGATAGATTTAAAACTGATGCATTTTATCAGAATAGGATCGCTGGTTGGAGCTTCACAGCTGATAAAGGGTTATTGTTGTTGTTTGGAAACAATTTCCCAGGTCAGAGAGAATAAATTCACCGGGATTTCTTTGAGCAGAGAAGTTAATAACTATGACTGGGCAGTTGACTGGGCTGGCATGGAGGTAGACATCTGCCATTATCTCCATCTGGTTTGAAAGAAAAACGACTCCTTCAGTGGGAAAAGGACTTTAGCAGTGGCTAGAGAGAAAGTTAGACTCCAAGGGGAATAGCTCAGCCTACTAAAAGGAGAGGGCCAGTGTGCATGACTGACAGCTCTGCTTGCCTGTATATACCCACCATCACTCCTAAATCAGTGACTATTCAGATGGACTCTGTTTCCACTAAGTTCGTCACTTTTTCTTGATCCATGTTGAAATGATCAGCCCTGCCTAAGCCATTATTTCAAACATATGCCACCCCTACCAGGGTTTGCTGCCTTCCCAAGACAGGGCACTTCCATTTTCTTAAAGGAAAATTTAGGTACAAAAGCGAAATAACTTGCTCAGAGAAGGAAAGAAAGAGTCAACAAATCACCCAAGCGATGAACAAAATCCTAGGGTCTTGTTATACCTGAAATATAATAATAAGATAAAATTGTTTTTCTTAAAAATGTTTTAATAAAATATTATACACATATATTATATATATATTTTCTTATACAGATATTATGTCCAGGATTGTTGGTATGGATCATAGTACTGTAAATGTAATTGATAGCAAACACAAGGTCTGTCAAATAAATAGGTTTCAATTTTTTTTGTTGTTTTGAAACTCTTTTGTAAGCAAATTCATCTGAGAAGCCCTTTTGGAGAATAGGAAAAGAGGAGTTTGGTCTTTTCTCCCGTTTTCTTTCCTTTCCCACTTAGGCCAGAGGAAGGAGTCACATTTGCTCTCTAGGAATCAAAAGTTACATTGGAGTGACCTTCTGGAAAGCTAGAAAGGTTGCCCTCTCCTTGCCATTTTCCCCACTATCCTAGAGCTTAACCTAAAAATATAGAAGCACCAGAAGAAATTTGCTTTTTCAGAGAGCTGGGAATAAGATAATACAGTGGAGACGAGGCCAATGGGAGAGAGCAGGAGAAAAGTGAGCTACTGTGATATAGAGGAAGAATGAATATATGAGAATAATTTATATGATGACTCCTATAATGTAAAAAAATGCAGTATTTATGCAATATTAGACGTCAGCATTCTGAGCAATGTAGGGAGCAGTCTCTATTTCAGAGGACTGATTGTGAAACATACCTTTTCTCCTCCTTTTGATGGATTCTAGGGGTTGAGTGAGACCTATGTTATAAGACGTGGTCAATATGTTGGTTTGTTTTGCTTAACTAAACTTTTTTGTTATAAGGAAGGGTTGAAGGGGAAGGTGGAGCTGGAGGAGGAAGGAGAGGGGTCATTAGAAAGTGACCTAGATATTTTTTAAAAAGTATCAATAGAACATTTTAAAAAATAATAATATTATCAGGTGTAGTCAAGGACAAACAAAATGTGGCTGAATATCCTGACCCAAGTAGGGTATCTAGCTCATCTCAGCCACTTGAAAACACTGGTAGTTGTATGTTGACCATATGTCCATTCAAGAAAAAGATAAGAACAATTACCTATCTTGCTGCCTATGTATCATTCTTGCAAGCTGGTCCCCAGTGGGGAAATTGCCTTCTCTTAGATAATTCAAACTAATTGGTGCCATTCAGGTAATATTTATCATATGATTTTTTTATATGACATGTGGAATCCTCAGAAATTCTCCTACATCTCTACTTCTTTCCCCACTATCCTGCTCCTTCCTCCTTTTCTCAGCATGAGTAGACACGGCCTGGAAAAATTCACAAGTGAGATTCCCAACCTAAACTCTGGTACTAGAGATTGGTGAGGCCTGTCTCATCTGGAAGTTCTGCTACCGTGGATTAGACAGAATAAAAGTGACATGCCTTCATGAGAGAGTCCAGGGCTAACAGTCTCTTTGTAATCAGAGAACTTCTCTGGAATGCTGCAGGTTGCTCAGAAGCCTCACTAGTTCTCAAAGAATCATCACACAAAAGGACTGAGATTTCTAATGAGATGAGAGCCAGTGGTCTGACTCCTGGACCTGTTGGCCACACCATAGGCTGTCAGAGCACCACTTACCCCCAGGTAGCACAATTCATTTATACCGAATATTCAAGTTTCCAGGTCCACTATAAAAATTTCTTCTCCGACTGGTCCAGGATCCGGGAGAAGCAGTAAGGGATAAGGCTAACCGATGTCAGAGGCACGGCCGCACTCTTGCAAAAAGACAGAGCGTAGAAAAGCATCTCCACCTGGGATGGGGGTTTGAAAGCATCAAAAAGATGCAAGATGACCAGCGAGGCCACAATGCAGCACAGGCGGAAGGAGAGCTGCTTTTTCTGTTTCCATCTGCAACTTTCTTTATACATACTGGAGTTGAGGGCCACACCCAGACCAAAGAGGGTCCCAAGGTTTTTGAGCAGACTGGCAAAGGGGGTGGTGTCAATATGGACCCATTCTGGCCGCTCACACCGCTTCTTGGCTTTCTCGAGGGTCCATAGGAGGTCAATACCCATCCCCTTCAGCATCAGGTAAAATCCAATAGCAAAGCTAAATAGGAAGAAGGTGATCACGGCATACTTCTTGAGACTGGCGTTGTAGATGCTCTGGATGTGTCGGAACGTTTCGGCAACAGCAATACCTGAGTAATCACCAGACAAAAATGACATTAGGAACTGAGGGAAATCTTCAGATACAGCAGTTAGAGGGTATTGGGCCACCAACCCTGTCAGGTTTAGAGGGGAACATAAGCGACATCAGCTTGATCTGAATAGCTATCTACTACAGTGCTGCATTACCAAAGTCCTTCTTAAAACCTACAAAGTGAAAAAAAAATCCCCAAACTGACAGCTCCTCCTTTTCTGCTTCCTCCATCCTGCTCTTTCTGTGCTGGGCTCCCTTATCCCTAGCACTCGATCTTGGACCCCTGAATTATCTAGACTAACTGCTGCCATGGAGGTTACTTAGATATTTTACTAACATATAATTTTGGGCAGCTAGGTGGTACAGCAGATAGAATACTGGGAAGAGTCAGGAAGACCTGAGATCAAGTCTAGCCTCAGACACCTACTAGCTGTGTGATCCTGGGCAAGTCACTTCACCTTGTTTGCCTCAGTTTCTTCATCTATAAAATGAGCTGGAAAAGGAATGGCAAACCACTCCAATATCTTTGCTAAGAAAACCCCAATGGGGTCATGAAGAGTCGGACACAACTGAATAACAACGAAAGTATAATTTAGGTTGAGGAACTTCTTATATAGCTTATATCACTGTTTTTGTTCCTCTCTCAATTCTATCTCCTTTTAACATCTTTTAATTTATTTTAAATATGTTTATATGAAATCACAGATCCTGGCCAAAAAAAAAGTTTTTTGATACATCTTGTGGTTTACATTGCTGGAATTTTTAGAAGTACTATTTCGTCCCCACCCTCCTCTCCCCAATAAATTAATCTTCTCCTTTGAAGATGCAGGGAACTAAGGGTATGAAACATGGACTAGGTTGATGAACTGTTTTTCCTTATCTTTAAAAAATTTTGTTACACAAGGGATAATATGCTGGGCAAGGGAAGGACAACAAATATATTTGGAAATGAAAGTAATAGGGAAAAAAGAAAGGATGTCCACAAAATATTTTTAAAACCAAAAGAATTCCTAAAATAAAAATAAGGTGAGTTTTGACAGCAGGAAAAAAAAAAGTGAAGTTTCCCTTCTGTTCTTAAAGATCTCTAAGCAAGGGAAGATTGGAAAGCATCATGAGAACAAGGACTTCATCTTATCTAAACTTTGCATCTGCCCTAGTACTGAGGACAGCGTTCTGGATACAGTAGGTATTTGCTTAATAAATGTTTGCGCAATGAATGACATAATGAATGGAGATTCCACAATCTCCCTCTTGTCACAGATTCCAAGGTCTTTTGCTCCAGGTACTTCCCCAAAATCCAAGTTTTCTTATGCCTGCCTCAAATGCCTCCCATCGCCTTTTTGGCTCAATTTGTAACTATAAGCCTACTCCACTTTAAGAAAACCAGAATGAGCTATGTGACCCTAGGCAAGTCGCTTAGATCCAATTGCCTCACCAAAAACAACAACAAAAACCCCCCAAAAACCACGACAACAACAAACAAAAACAAAAGCAAAAAACCAGAATGCAGGAAAATCTGAACTAACAAAAATTATCAAGGGTATATTTGTGTCACGAAAAGATTTCTTTTATATATAGAACTTCCCTAGAGTTTTTTGGTTGTCATTGTTATGATGTGGTAAACTAATTTGAAGCTGAGCCCCTAGGAAAACCTATAATGGAGAATATAACTCCATTCACAAAATTGTGGTTTCCATAACACTTTTTGAAACTTATATACTATGTAAAGCAAAGCATACCTTGCTGTCAAAAATAGCAACTCTTTAAACTTTCTGCCTTTGATTTGTAATCCATTGAAATCCAACAGCATGAATGACATTCACAATAAGGGTGGTATGTTGTATGTTGTGATTAAGGAGGAGCCAGAAGGAAGATACTGCAAACACTACTGACCTGAGAGGACTCCAGCAACAACCTGATGAGGGAAATGGGCTGCGAGATAGATTCGGGACAGACAGACGTTGAGTTGCACAACCCAGAACACCAACCACAGAAGCACGTGCAGGCACCTGCAAAAGGAAACCCAAACACAGCAGGATTGAGATACAGAGCAGAAATGCCATTCAATAAAACAGCCTCTGCAAGACCATGGGACTACCTTAGGTTCTTCTAGTCAGAAATCCTATTAGATTATGCTGGTTGTTATGGAGCCTTAGAACTAGAAGGACCTCTAATCCAAAATCTAGCTAAAGCATCGATTCTCTAATATTCCCAACAAGCCTTCATCTAGCCTCTATACAAACACTTCCAGGAACAGAATTTACTGATACTTCAAGGGTAGTACGTTCCGTTTTCAGATACTTCTATCAGTGTATTGAGTTGAAATTGAACTCTTGTAACTCCTACCTAGTGGTCTAGGTTATTGCCCTCTGGGTTCTGAGCAGAGTTTCTCTTAAAAATCTTTTATATAGGGGCAGCTAGGTGGCACAGTGGATAGAGCACTGGCCCTGGAGTCAGGAGGACCTGAGTTCAAATATGGCCTCAGGCCAAACACTTGACACTTACTAGCTGTGTGACCCTGGGCAAGTCACTTAACCCCATTGCCTAGCCAAAAAAAAAAATCTTCTATATAATTGAAGGCAGTGATCACACCTCACTGTCTTCTTTCTCTAGGCTAAACATGTCTAGTTCCTTCCAGTGCTCATCATCACTTTAAGTAATCATCGTATCAAGTGATCGTGGTTCCCTTGCCATCCCGGTTGCCTTTTGGATACACTCTGATTTGCCAGGGACCCACTGATAATGTGGTGTACAGAACAGGACACAATACTCCAGAGATGGAGTCTGACCTGGGCAGAGTACGATAGGGCTACCATTTCTTTTGTTCTGGATTAATGTGACCTAAGAGAGCATTAGCTTTTTCAATGACCACATTACCCTTGCGGCATATCGAGCTTGCAGTCCACTAACCCTGAGGTCATTGTCTCCCACATCCTGTACATCGGTGACTAATTTTTTGAACTTAAGTGAATGATTTTACATTTTTCTGTCTTAAATTCCATGTTGAGAAGCAGCGTGGCTTTGTGTATGGAAAGCTGGCCTTGGGGTCAGGAAGACCTGAGTTCAAGTCCTTCCTGGGACATACACTTGCTATGTAACTCTGAGCAAGCCTCAGTATCCCCAGGCAATTTTCTAAGACTATACACTGCATAGACAGTGATGACTTGTATTAGTAAAGGAAGTCCCTCACCAGGAGTTTCATAGACCTAGAAATCACAGGTCAGATTAAAAAAAACATACCAACAAACATTTATTTTATTCAATTATACCATCCAATGCATTAGCCCTCTCTCCCAGCTTTGCGTCATTTGTAAATCTTATATCCCATCTATGTTTCTGTACAGGTCACTGATAGAAATATTGGAGGAAGGGAATAAGGCACCTACTATATGCCAGTTATCATGCTAATCACTTTACAAATATTATCTCATTTGATTCTCACAACAACCCTGTGAAATAGATGCTGTTATTATTCCCATTTTACAGTTAGGAAACTAAGATAAGCAGAGGTTAAGTGACTTGCCCAGAGTCACAAAGCTAGGAAATGTCTGAGGCCAGATTTGAACTTACGTCTCCCTAATTCTGAGTCCAGCACTCTATCCAATGTGTGGCTACCTGGCTGCCTCAGAATAATGAACAGAACAGGACTCCTGTTTAGTAGGAGTCCCTCAAATTTATCATCCCCATTCTAAAATATGAGAATATACTGGGGGGAAGAAGAGAGAGAGAGAGAGAGAGAAAGTGATTTGTCAGCTAGAGAGCTGATTGATCCCTTTCTCCTTCCCTTAGTCTCTCAACCAATCACTGAAACCTTTGTTACCGGAATCTGAGAGTTGGCTTCTTCTTTCCACGAGTAAGGGAGAGGATGGATGTAACAATTACATAGTATACACCTGCTGCACCCATGGCATGGCCCGAAGGACTACCTGGAGGACAGGAAAGAAGCACAGTGCCTTAGATAATGGCAAAAAAAAAAAGGAAGGAAAGAAGGAAGGAAGGAAGGAAGGAAGAAGGGAGGGAGAGAGAGAAAGAGAGAGAGAGAGAAAGAGAGAAGAGAAGAGAGAGAGAGAGAGAGAGAGAGAGAGAGAGAGAGAAAGAAAGAAAGAAAGAAAGAAAGAAAGAAAGAAAGAAAGAAAGAAAGAAAGAAAGAAAAAGTATTTCTGTCTTTCCCTAGCTTTAGAAAAATTCCATGTCCCCCTTCCCCACTATCACCCCTACAAGGGCTCACTCTGGGAATGTTCTGTTGTTTGATTGAAAAATACCGATACGATTTTAATGAATAAAGTTCAAGTAAGGTATGGCTGATGTACCACTGACTTAGGTGGTTCCACCCACAAAGCCAGGCTGCTGGGCAGAGAAGAGTATCCAAGGTCTCTGGTCACTGCTACTTCCTTTTCCCTGGAGGAAAAGAGGTCAGGCTACCCTTTACAAATCCAGGGCTTCTGCCCCTTTCCTTTGTGGGGAAATCCTAGTTTGAGTGCAAGACACTAAAACACTCCAACCTACTGTACCCAGGTGACAACACTTGTATGTTAAAGTTTTCTGTGTTATAACCTTCTACTCAACCAATGTGCAAGCTTCTCATTAGGCTTCCTTCAATTATTTCAAAATATTATTCTGAGAAAGGGTACCTAGGCAGACTACCAAAAAGGTCTGTGATGCACAAAATGGTAAAGTACCCCTATACTCAGGGGATTTCCAAAATGACATGAGCATATAAATGTTAACTTGTAAATAATCTTTGAACTGAATTGTAGTTGAATTAAATGGAAGCTAATGAAAAATCACAGAATCCGGCAGCTCAAAGGTACCTCAGAAGCCACCTGTATAATCTGTATCAATCCTTGATGTCTCCCTCAAGTTGCCATCCAGTCTCTATCTGAAGACTTCCAATAAGGAAAAACTTCTATCTCCTGAGGAAATCCATTCCACTTCTGGACAGCTCTGATTGTAAAGAAGCTTTTCTTTACATAAAGCCTAAATCTACTTCTTTGCCACTTCTACTCATTGCTTTATGTTACAGGCCAGAATGAATCTTCCCTTTACCCTATTTGTCATTTGTTGTTCAGTCATTTTAGACTTTCCATGACCCTGTTTGGGTTTTCTTGGCCAAGACACTGGAGTGATTTGCCATTTTCTTCTCCGGCTCATTTCTACAGATGAATAAACTGAGATAAACAGGGTGAAGTGACTTGCCCAGGGTCACTCAGTTAGTAGGTATCTGAGGCTGGATTTGAACTCAGGTCTTCCTGACTCCAGCTTGGCACTCTATTGACTGCACCACCTGGCTGCCCCATAATATAGCAACATTAACAACCATATAGCTCATATGCATAGTTACAAAGTGCTTGAGGTCCACCTTATTTGAGCCTCATAATTGCCCAGTTTCTATTATATGCAGTCTTTATCATACTCCTGTCTATACAAAGTTAGCAATGAGGTATGTTAAATGAAATCTTACCTGGTCCAGTCTCACAGGTGATGGGGAACTGCTTTATTACAGGCACAGATGTGTTTATGTAGTAGTCAGTGTCTAATACCCACCAGTATGGACGCTGTCCAAAAAGAATCCTGTCAGGGAGCAAGAAAGTTGTAAAAAATTACAGGCTCTTCTTTACCAAAGAATGTATCAGGAAAAAGTGTCATGCATTTACTTTCCTATCTCTAAATGCCCACAGACAGCAGCTTTGTTTAGCTCTGATTCTAGAACCACAGAATGTCAGTGCTGGAAGCGCTTGAATATCACCAATCTAACCAATCCTGACATTTTACAGATGAGGAAATTTGGGTCTGGGGAATAAAACAATGTACAGAAATAATGGAAAAAGTTGGTCGCAAACCCAGGTCTCCCAACTCCCAGATTAGGGCTCTTTCCTTCTCTTCACAATCCATGCTATCCTAAACTAACCCAAAAGGATAGTTTAAAGTTGAGGAACTGCAGTTTAAAACTTAGGTCTCTCTGTGCTCAACCATTGCATCTTCATCTTTCTCTCTCTTCTCTTCATTTAGGGAGAGCCCTGACTTTCCACAGTCACAAGATTATAAAGCTTACCTACCCCTTCCATTCCCACAAGAATCCCTATCTTCCAAGAACTGAAGAGCATTTCCTATCTGGAAAATGCATCCCCTACACCTATATCTTTATCCTTTCTGCTTTGGAATAAAAGACATTGAACAAATGTCTTTTCCTTTCACTTAAAGATGGGCTTGAAAGATAAATTTTTCATTTTAGTAAAAGATGTCAAATTTAAGTTAAGTTTCCTCTGTCACTCTAAGGTTATGAGATAATAGATTCTTTTTGGATTTAAGGACAATCATTTTCTCCCCTGCTGATAGACAAAGATCCAGGTCTTGAATAAAATAAAACATCATTAATTCAGACCCCACTAATCTAGTGCTCAATCGAACACAATCTATTGTATAATTCTTACTAAGTACAAAATTTGAAAGAATTTCATTTATGAATTTCTGGGGTCTTCCAGGTGAGTAGAGAAAATAACCATTTATAATTAATAGCCTTTTCTAATAAAGAACTTGAACATTTCTTCCATATACTTTCAATTTCTGTATCTAATAATGAATTCCTAAACATTAAAGGATTTGTGTTACTAGTTATGTTTTATTGGTTTACCTCATTTTACTTGTTTCTCTCTTTCTTCGTCTTTATATTTTGTACTATATTTCAAAGGTTTTTTAAAATTTCATTTTTTTTAAAAAATTATCATTATTCAGACTTTTCACTAAATAAGATTATTCTTCCTTAATTCCATACTAGTTAAATTTTACTCTCTTTTTAACTCAGTGATGAAGTTCTACCTCCAATACTTGTGTAAGATATTAAAAGCAAAGAGAAAGTAGCTGATGTCCTCCCAAAGAGTCTGGATAGGGATTGGAAAACAGGTTCCCCTTGGAAGGTCAATGGGAGACAGACCTCTTCCCTTTCCTGATCCCCCCTGTTACTCTCCTTCCTTGCCCAGGTTCTTACTTACCACTTAAAAACCAAATTAAGCCAATCTCCAATCACAGCCACCCAGAGGAGTTTGATGCCTACAGCCTCTTGAACGTGGAACCAAATGGGAAAGAGGACATAGAAGGCATTCCTGAGATCTGCAAGCATTGAGACCAAGATGAACCAGTCTTTGGAGTCCTTATAATTTACTTGGAGGTAGTGGGTCGATTGGATCCCAAAATCATGGAGGACGTTCATCCCTGCCTCCATCCTCACTTCCCCTTGTCACTTCTATAGGTCCTCAGCAAAGCACGTGAAGTTATTTCAGGCTCTGCTGTAAATGTTCTGCTCTTAGATTGATCCTTGCCTCTGTTTTATATTCCCTTGCTTCTAGCCATAGGTCATTTCAACCCTGATCTTTGGACCCAAAAACCACTTTTGTCTAAAATCTATTGATCAAAGGTGCATCACCAAAAGGTTGATGCAAACGCGTGTGGGATGATTTACGTAAAATAGGAAAACAGGCACACGAAAACAATCTGATCTGCCAGATACTCAGTAGGGGCAATTATTAACCTTTGGTATGCTGTTTGACATTGCAGACAACTGCCCTCCTGTTCTCTTAAACTGGGTCAAAGACCTAGATCAAGTTTAAACTGTCTACTACTCTTTGCTTCATTTGGAAGTTTCCCTGATTTGTATATGGAGTTTGTATCCTCTGTTGTATACTCGCCCGCTTGTTTGGGAGACATAATGAAATTAACATACCTTAGTTTAAATCCCTTTGAGTCATCTCTTTGTATCCTCTAGTGATTCATATTTCTAGTTATTAATTAAAAGGAACCAGGCAGTTCTATGTCCTGAGAAGAGTTGTTGATTTGATGCCTTGTGCCCTCAGCTGCAACCAGTCTTCAGAAATATCTGTGGTTTGGCAACCCTCTTTCTCAATATTTGTGAGAGACAAGATTATCATAAGATGGGCTAATTAATTAATTTGGCAGCCTTTATGAGGACTTTAAAAACCAACACTTGCAATTTACTTGAATGAATGCTCATCCGTGCAAAAATAAATGTCCACAGAAGTAAAATACCTACTGTCTTGTCAGTCCTCAATTCAGGGATGGCCAGCAACTTTGATTGGAACCAAAAACCTTGCACCAATTGTCCTGAAATTTGGAAGAAGGACCCTGGATACAGGTAGCACATACATGAAAAAGAAGATGAATTAACTAAGCCTGTCTTGACAAAAGGCATTTGTCACAATAACGTATAAAGGGAATATGATTTTAAAACAACCAATATTTCCCTCCCCAATCAATGCAACCTCCTCTTCAATAAGCCCAAGGAGGATAGTCTAACACATCTGGAGCAGAGAGGGATAGGTGAGCTGATGGAGGGATGGAGAAGAGACTCAGAATGAAAGGGTTTGGAGCAAAGGTTGACAATAATACATGCTGGAAATAATTACAGGAGGGGATGGGATGGGAGGTCCTGATTTGTCAAACTTTCTCAGTGCATCAGATCCTCCTGGGAGAGGATAGATTTCATAATGAAGCATGTCAGTTGGACAATCCTATACCTGGGGAAGCCCATCTTAATAGCTTATAGATTAGTGTCCTCCTGTGGGAAGGAGCTCCCCCTCTCTCCTCCTAGATAAGCCTTGTTCTCAGAGTACTGAGTAATTCTTTCTTTAAATCTCCTGCCCTGGTTTCAATTGCATGAGGGCAATCTATGTACAAATGGAGCAGACGCTGCTTATAGACAATAAGACAACAACCCTGGGCCCCCATAGAATAAGACTTCCCAAGGGCCACAGTATCTGAGTCTCGCAAATCTTGGTCATGTGCCCAGCATGTGGGGAGCAAGAGGAGGGCACTATCTTCTGGTAGGAACAACAGGGAGCTCTGCTCTTCTTGATAAGGAGTCATTATGGAGCTGACATTTGTGTTCTGCAAAGCAAAGCATGGGACTTTGGGCAGTCTGCCAGGTTTGGTGACAAGCTTGGCTGGAAAAACCATGGATTACATCATGAAGCTATTACTGGTCTCCAACTGCCTCTCACCTACCAACACCTTCCATTCTCCTATTAGCCTCAGTGGCAATCCTTTTCTGCTGCCTCCTGCAATTTTTTATCATGAGATGGAAGGGGATAAAGTACCAATGAGAAAACTGGTTGGGGAAGATAAATGGTAGAAGACTCTCAAATGTCTCCAAATATCAAACCCTCAAAGGTCTTGTGGATATCATGTTATAATGGAAAGAACACTGACTATGGAGTCCTGGGTTCAAATCCTGTCATTGACACTACCTGTATGACCTTAAACAAGTGACTGAAACTCCCTGAGCCTCAGTTTCCTCATCTGTTAAAAAAAAAGAATAAGAAAAAAGGAGGAGATTGGATTAGATGGCTCTGAGATTCCCACCAATTCTAGCTGGGTTTGAATCCTAGCTCTACTATTTATTCCCTGTGTGATCTGGGTAAGTTACTCTTCTCTGGTTCTCAGTTTCCTCCCTTGTAAAATGAGAGTTGGATTAAGTGACTTCTAGTTTCTCTTCCTACTCTAACATTCTATGTTAGCAAGTCAGCCCCTAAAGGACACAATCTGTCTCCTTTCAGTCTTTTTTTCCCCTTGCATATAGTATCGTTTCAATAAATGCTTGCTGAGTTGAATTGAATCAGTTGTATTTTGTAAGAGGCATTTGAGATTTTGTAAATTTGTTTTGCTCCCTCCAGAGATTTCATTCCACCTTTCCTTAGTCACCTTTTCCAGCAAATGACAACTCTCCCTTTCAAGAATTTCTCACTTGGATCTAACTTCAATCTCCTCCTTTACAGTATGACTCGATTCCCTTTTGTTCAGAGCTGGTTAACTGCCCTTTGGGAAAACGTCTGGTCAGAGACCAGGAGACAGTTAAGATGGAAAAGTTTATGGAGCTCTGTTTGTCTGGTGAACCAGCTGGTCACTGTTAAGACACAGTAAAAAACATAATTTTTGCATGGTTGGCATTTCTGTTTGTTGGATGAGATGGAGAGAAGCTGTCTCCCAGAAAGTACATTTTGGACTGACATGATTAAAAAGAATCTAGGACTTTTATTTTCATTTCAGCAGCATCCACTGAGCTGGGGACCCAGAGCTCTAAAGGGGGAGGGGGACTGCTTTATCCTTGTCTTCTTGTTGCCATGGTGTTAGCTAGTGCATTTTCAGAATAATACAAGGAGAAAGACCTCATTATCAATGCCAACCTCCCTCTGAGAAGCAGAAAAGTGGGTTTCTCTGCAGATTCATATCCAGAATTTAAGCTTGCCAATTCCAAGCTGCGCAGCTTTTAAAAAAATGTTTTAAAACCTCTTTTGGGGGATTTTCTTGGTGGGGAATGGGTAGGTGTAGTATTTAGGAGGAGAAGATGGAGATTGATAAGACAAGCCACTGTTATCTTTGAAATGACTCCACTCATCTCTACAAAAACATGTTGGGAAAAACAGGTTGTGGAAAGAGATGGATTAATTATTGTTAGCCAGTGAAAATGACTTACTTATCTCAGGGCTCAGTGAGAAAGTTCAGCTCTAGGACCTTGAACTGTTCATCTGTTAACCAGGTGAGGAGAGCATGGTTTGTGTCCCAGTCACCCTAGATGGATAAGGTGAACACTCTGTCCATTTAAAAAAAAACACTCTGAAATCATTTGTGGTCATTTTAAAAAAATGAATAGTCAAAGCTCTTGTTAGCTATGTTTACTTCTCTCCCAAACCTTCGGTTTTCAATCTACTCATCTCAGTGGTGGTGAGGAGGCGAGACAGACAGGAGTGTCCGAAGCAGACAGAGAAACAGTGGGTGCTGGTTTCCTTCTACAAAAGCTAAATGAATCAATGAATTCAAAAAGTATGTGTTATGGACCTACTATGTGCTAAGCATTGTTAGGAACTGGTGAAAATACAAAGTTACATAAGACAAGGTCCCTGGCCTCAGAATCATCAAGTTCCTTACGGTCTCTTCCAGCTCTAAGTTTATGACCCTTGTGACCCCCATTGGAATCACAAACTGATCCTCTTCCCTGGGGAAAAATATGTCTGGTCCAGCCTTCCAAAAGTCTTCCTGATTGATGGGACAACAGACTATTTGGTTCCTTCCTTCAAAAAAAGATGTTCAATCCAATTCAGTAAACACTTATTAAGTATTTACTGTAGGCAAAACATAGTGCTTTGTCTTCAGAACAGGATGGGGATGGGGCAGGGAATTTGGAAAAGATTTCTTCCTCGTGGAGCTCAGAGTTTATTACGGGCATCTGACATATAAACAAATGATTATAAGTATAGTGATTGTTGAGTTGAGTTGAGTTGAATTGGTAACATTTTGCAAGAGTTATTTGGAATTTGAGCACACCAAAGGACATGCCGCAGCAGAGTGTCATGGAGGTACAAGGGGGTTGGGTTGTTGGGGTACTAGAGAAGGTTTGAATGATGAATTGCAGGGTAGAAAAAGTAGAGGTAGGAAGGACCATTAGTCCAGACAGGTGGTGATAAGGATTTGTACTAGGGTAACAACAATGGGACCAGAGGAAGGAAGAGTGAGAACTCAATCCCAGATAGAATTGACACTACTCGCTAATTTACTGAATGCAAGAGATAAGGAAGGAAGCAAAGATAAACAGAGTTTTTAAACTTTGGAGACTGGTTGGTGGCACAGATAGAAGTAATAAAGTCAGAAGCAGAAGTGGGTTTTGAGTGAAAGATATTTAGTGAAATAGTGAATTGTGGAAGTTAGGTGTTTTTTTGTTTGTTTTTTTAACCTCTTTTGGCAAGACTAAACCACCCTCAGGAGTTTGGGAGGGAGTCTTCCTGATATCCAGTGTAAATATCTACCCCTTTGGGCTAAAACTTTCTTGACTCTATTACTTAAGTTAGACAGAGAATTCCCTTTAGCCATCTGAAAACTTCAAAGTTATTGGTTGGGATAATTTGGAAAAGGCTCAGCTCCCATGGAAACTCTTTTTTTTTTTTCATTTGGCCTGGTTTATCCTCCCTTCTGGAAAACAACAGCTATTTCTGAAGTGGAGTATGACTGAGACTGAAACTCTAGCTGCTTAAACCTTTCCTTGATCTAACTCAACTGGCTTTTTCGAGGCATGACTTACTGAACATCAGTGCCATCTAGGTACAAACAAAAGGAGATGGGAGGGAACTGGGTCATCCATCCATCTGTGGAGTGATGAGGATGGACTCTCATAAGATGAAAGATTTTAACTATTAGTAAAGGTAGCTAGGGGAATAAAAGATTTTGCCTTACTAGTTTAATAGGCTCCTTAGGAAGTTGGGCTAATTTTATCAAACACATGTCCCGCTCCTCCCTTACCTTGGCCCAGGCTCCTCTGAGCTTGATC